ACGGCACATCTGCATAACACATTAAAAAATACGAAAGACGACAAATTGTCAGTCTTTGAAGCTTACTGTCATCTGCTTCCAGCGCATGCCAAAGGGTGATTGTTTGAATGATAGCTTCCACGCCTTTTCCCTCGTGACCTTAAACACTAGTAAAGGCTGTTCTTCACACATTAATCTCCAACTCTTTTCTGTTTTGCGACATATCTAGCTAGAACCTGGCTACCGCAGCTTCGGAGACGATGTCTATACACATTGTCCAGAATATTTGCAAAACTTGTATCACCTTCTACCATTTATGACATAAGGGTTTCAGGCAACGGGGAAGGAATGAGGAGCACAAGGGAGAGAACCTAGAGACTTACACATGTCCATGCTTCCAGTGCACGCGTATAACTGATAGCATGCATTTTACAGTCCCCTACAAGTCACAATAAACCGTTGCAGCGAACTATACCAAAAACCACACAATTCTTTGATCATCCGATACCTACAAGGACGTGGATTGGGAGGTGTTATTTAAGACGCGCAAATTTCATGACCTGCATCGTATAAGGGAACATTTGAAAAAACTTGGGTAAGATGTACAAGCTTACGACCACGAAATGCGAATACATTTTGAACAATAAGTTTAACGCTAACAGTGGGTCCTAGTCACAAATAAAAACCCTCAAAGTGTGTTGATTTACAATGCAGGATGTGCTTGATGTATCATTTGCCTCAATTATCAATGCTGGTTAATTCATCGGCTAAGAAAGTCGATGAGGAGAGGTCGTACAAAGCTGGAGCATGACTTGTTTCAAGTGAACAATCTCATGACCTCGCAATCATCCAATAGTGGAGGCGTAACACGAGTGAGAGGTGGTAAGATACGGCAGAGAACGCACCTTCCGATTTGCCCACGTAGAGTCCCCTTTTCAATCCCTCGATGGTCTCTCGCAGTCGCGCATTCTCAATCTTCAGATCTGAGGCGCACTGGGCTTCTTTGCTTATGGATTCTACCTCCGCTAGAGCCAGAGAGGGATCTAAAAGACAAGTTGCCAATTGAATTCTTTGTATCCATATTGCAGGACAGAAATGATGAGTAAGAGGACAGTAAGAATAAGGAAAGAAAATGTAACGGTAAGGCTGAGGATAAAATAATGTTTACATGATCTAGCGGGATAGAATCAGTTACTTAGGGATGCATTGTACCATTACTGCCAAAATGGTCCGATTACTTTGTAACCAATAAATAAAAAGCGATCACATATAACAAGAACTGATTAGTTGATTTCAGTAGTGACCAATGCTGAACTTGACATACTTTAACAAGTTTAAATTCGGGTTCGACTGCTATACCGACTTTTTGAAGTAGAGTGACGGTAGCAGGCCGAAACAGTTTAAATGAGCGGGTCAAGTGATTAGGCTTCGATATTGGCATTTCACCTGGATTTCCCTATTTTACTTTTGAGATATTATCAGACGAGTAAACCACCAAGGCTACCTCTTCCTCCGTAATTTATTAGCTCAAGTCGAGGCCTAAGAAGGTAATGCCTCAAGTGCGAATAGAGAGAACCCTCGTGGTCAAAATTCTTAAAAAAACATGTCGATTCATTGGCAAAGAATGAAGATTTCCCTGTAGCTCGACTACCATTTAATGGAAGCGAGTGGATACATTCATTGGACCATACACAAAGCCCTAACACTTAACCAAGTAGGTGAACTTTGCTGCTCGTAACTTCTTAAAAATTGTTCGAAGAACAGAAGTAGTAGGTGGATTCCACTCCAATGAATAAATCTTGAGCCTATGCTCAAACAGTTGTCGATAAAGTCACCCGAAAAAAAACGAGGGGAATGTGGAACGAAAATATCGAAGCTATTTATATTTGGAAGAAATTGAACAAACATAAAGTACTACGAGGAGCATTAGAGTCCAGTAAGTGAATGATACGCAGAGAAAAGTTGACTGATCCCTTTTGAAATAACTGTGCCTTCTAACTGCAGAAACTGTGATGATTTGAGATCAAACATTTGGCAGTTAGTAGTGAAATACAACTGCAAAACAATAATGATATTCACTACAGAACTATGCGAACCATGATTATCGTGATTAGTCTAAATGAATATGATCAAATATATAATTTGCCCATTTGAAAGAGCGGAAAGGAGTCAAAAAAAAGTATGCAGATCTGAGATCCAAGCATCATAGGACAGTTCAAGGTGATTTATTCCCCACTGTCTCTAAAGAAATAAGCAATTTTAAATTCAGTTTTTTTGGGAAGCTTATCCATTTACCAAAATATTTGGTACCTCTATTCACGCACTTGAGCATAGACCCAATAGTCTAATAGTACTGCTTTGCAAAAACGGTCTTTCTGTAATACAAAATAAATTAAGTTAGGCTAAATGGTACCTGGCATTTCAGCAAGACACTGGTAGACTTGGATAAACGCGTCCTCAGCCTTTTGACTTCTGATGGTCAGTCTGTCAACTTCTGTTTGAAAGCTCTTCAACACTGATGCGGCAGCCTTTCTAACTTCCTGGGATGAAAAATAAGACCCGTGGCGAGGAATCGAAGTTAATATGGATTGAGCGACAACCTCGACTGCGATCCGGATAAGAAATACAGGAAAACTGCTTCAAGACCAAGAGTTAACGTTCAATCTGAAGGCCAGGGGACAGAAAATCCGGCACGAAGACTTAAATGGAAGTGGAACCATAAGTTACACTTTTAAAGACGAGTTGAATTTAGCTGATCACGAGAGACAGGAAATACAATTTAGTTAAATCCTTAACAATATTTGAAATCACACTGAGAGGTGAAAAAAGTTACTGACTCAAGGCTGCCCCAACGCTGCAAGCCCTGCCTAAACTTAGTTTAGGATACATTATTTCTTATAACAGCAGGCGAAAGAATAAGGGTACGGACACTGAAATATTGAAGAAATGAAGTTACCCAGTTATGCATGATGAGAGAATAGCAGGGCTTGGACATCAAATGTATACGTGCTTTTACAACGACATACAAGTGCGCTATCGCCACTTGATTACTTGCTCCTTAATCTGCCAATTGTTTGATCAAAAAAGAATAAATCGACAGGCAGTACAAAAGGGAGTAGAAGACTGCGTTAAGGAACCAATGCTACATCTCCAATGAATGAAACCCATAAATTAGATAATTTACAAAGTGGAAGAACTCTACGCAACTAGAAGAACCGTTAGTTACCTCCGGAACAGAATTACGAAATTGAAGAAGAGCATCAACCAGCTTTTTCCGCGAGAAACGGTCGCGCTCCTGAACAGATGCAATCGTAGAGGCTATTTCACCGATCTCAACCTGAAGATCATACTCTATAGGAGAACAAAATACCTGAAATTTCGGGAACTGGAACTCATTCCATGCAGACTTTGTCGAATTGACAATGGAAAGCATCTCACACGCCTTCAAATTTACCGGAACGTACTATGGTAAATAAAACACGTGCGTTAGTTGCAGTGGGTTGTAAGGGAAGTTTACATAGTAAAAAAGAATATAATAATAACTAAGCTACCATAATACTCCATCTTTCTATCTTTTAACAGCTATTTCTAAGGTGATTATGCGTAGGTACTTTCCGATTCAAAATATAGTGCCTCGGTTGTCTAAGGCCACTAAAATATTTTATATAATGTTACAAGATTGTATTAAATTTATCTCTGCTTTCACAAAATGTTAGGTTTTGTGCGAAATGTTAAGTTTTGTGCAAAATGTTAAGTTCAATGCTTATTCAAGTTGTTCCAATAGTTTTTCGACTCTAAGCTTTTATCTCAAGTTTTCGTAGCATAAGCAAGGATGTTCTGTAGCACCCCAAAACTTTCCTGAAAGCGAATGAAGACAAGGTTGTAGGGCGTGACTAGCAGGTCTCCTCTTCCCTGTTCCTAGTGCTCTTTGAACAACCCGGTTAATCTAAACCCGACAGATTTATTAGAGGAAAGGGGGTCTGGAAAATAAGTACAAAGTTTAGAGGGGGAAGAACCGCGATTGCTCTTAGGCTTGAGAGACGCCGACTCTGTCACCAGACTCGAAGTATAACCTTGCCTCCTCCCTGAAATGCACATTTAAACAATATAGGTATTAAACAATACTCAGGCGGAATGTATATACTTGGCGTAGAGAAGGTATTTGCGCTACTGGCATGGCCATTGTATTACAGTTCAGTTAGAGAACGTTTGGCAGGCATAGCTAGATGCAAAGTATTCATTGACTCAAAAACCCAAATCAAACACTTGTAGGCGCTACTGGAAACACGCACAAATCCGTTTCAAAATTCAGATATTCTTGGCATGAGTGCTGTTTCGGATCTTTTAGGCGATTTACATCTGAGTTGCTCTCTAACAATATGTTTTGGGCTCCTAATTATTACGAATATTATCCTTAGTATAGAGACACTTCAAACCCAAACCCATCGTGCCTTATTACTAGATCAGGGTTAGTTAGTTATTGATGTTTATTGAATCGGTTTTAGAGTTCCACGTTTTAAAGACAACACCATCTAAAACTAATCAGGAGCATTAAGCAATAATAGTACAACTTTAATACTGTTACGAACAGAAATGAATGAAAAGTAGGAGAAAATGTAGAACTGTACGTACCTTCAGCATGCTGCTGCTTCAAGGCCACATGCACCCAATCACATTTCAAGCTTGTGCAATCCAGCCTCGGCTTTCTCGTAACGTGATTGCATCGGCAGAGCGCTTTACCAGATTATTTTGGTACGGAACGTTCCAGCGTGCATTGTTCATGATGACGGGGAGCTACCACATTCACCACATCAGATTCACTGCAACCGTAACTATAATATCAATTGGACCTTTTATTTGCGGTATGTTTGCATTGCATTACATGCTCCCAGACTTTCTGCACCAGCTATAAACATTGCCTGCATAATTCTATCCATCCAGGTATCTCTCTCGGTTTCTCATCCTCAGTCTCTGCGCAACTACTCATTGGCGACAACCTGATTGCCTTCTTCTCCAGTTTAATTAACCTGGGGGCGTTAGTTGGCAGCCTTATCGTGGGCCCGGTTCTCAACACCCTGGGTCGACGTGCAGCGCTTCGCATATCTGCCGCGCCCTCCATCATCGGTTGGCTGTTGATTGCTGCCGCACAGGGTCTCTCACCTCCCTCCACCAAGGTGGAGCCACTTCTCGTCTCCTCCCTCCTCCTCGGCCGCATCCTCTCCGGTCTCGCCGCTGGCATGATGACCGCCGTGGGCTCCGTCTACCTCGTGGAGGTCGCGCCACCGCACCAATCGGGCCGAATCGGCTCCCTTGCTCAGGTCGCCACGGTGGCGGGCACCTGTTTCGCCTACTACTGCGGTATGGTTGCTACGTGGTACGAGACTGCGGAACTCATGGTCCTCATCTCGGTGGTGCTTTCCGGGGCTACTTTCTATCTGCCCGAGTCGCCGGCTTGGTTGGCAAAACGCAACCAGATGCAAGCGGCTTTGAGGAACCTCACTTGGCTTCGATTGGATGTGGGTGGTCGCTTTTAGTCTTCCGTATTTGCCTTTTATGTCCCCCAGTTAATGGCCACCAAACAAATTTCAAAGGTACATGTCTTCAAAAATGCAGAGAGCAGCTTATACTTTTGTTTCGAATCCGAATTGAGGTTGAAAAACGTGATGGCTTGAGACTCTACGTGACTTGCTTTACGTAAAACAACTCATGTCAACAAAAGGCTACACTTATAGCTTTCTCCTTGGCATTCGTCGATAATTTATCTTACAATAATTCATCCAGAGCGTCTTTAGTAGTGTCTTTATTAATTTTGGACTCCTAAATACAACTAAATAAGTGATTTTTACGAGAGAAGTGACTCTTGAAATACCTTCACATATCTGTGCTTGAACGAAACTCACGCCCTATTCATGCATCTGATGGATTATTACACATCTTGACATTCTTTATGTTGGTGAGTTGAAACCCAATGAATGTGTCCATCCACCTTCATATAACTTTCTGATAGTAACCACCGTTATCAAACCTCGATCACGTATCTCCACTTATAGCATAATTTAGGCTGTTTCGGGTTGGAATAAGACGGGAGTTTTGAACCTTGTTTGTGGCTTCCAGCGGACTTTCTTGTTTCTTATGCGGATGAATAACTCCAATTTTGATTCACACTTTAATTCTGATAATTTCTCTCACGGATTGCTTTACATCCTTCGCGGACTGGTCCATATTAAATGCCCATGAATCCAGTCGGCGGTGGTTTGCCTTTGGACAATATCCTGTGTCCCCATGATTTGTTTACGTTTATGCATCAAGTCTACTTTTAATGCTTTGGTAATCCATAGGTTGCTTAATTAAATGTAGTAATGGTGCAAGATACCTTAACTAATCGTGCTAGGACAACAGATAATGTGTTTATTTTACATACAAAACACAATTCTTAATAACCTGAAACTTTTAATTCTCTGTAATCTGATATGACTTCTGAGATCTATTTTAGGGATTCTCTTAATTTTCAATTGACTTATTTTGACTTTAGCCCTACAGTTCACAACTTATAGTTGTTTCCATGATCCACGGTCGTGACAGCTACATACATCGCAAAGCTAACGAGTTTCAGAGAGGGTTTTTGCCCTGCTTTTAAACCCTAGGCTATCGACAAGTGCAAATATCCTTAAACGACTATTATGTACATATGTATATATAAAAAGCGATTTTTTAACTCAACGTAGAAGTAGACGTTGCTCCACGAATATTTTAGTGTCTGGTAGTTGAATATGCCTTGTCTGCTCCTATCCAAGACCCTTCTGACCCTGTCAAACCTTTCTCTCATGACATTTGAGGGAGACACGCTTTTAAAGCTATCCGTACTTATTAAATGAATAGCGCTTTTTTTCTTTCCAATAAATGCTTTGCTTCCTACGCGTAATTCTAATGTGTTGTGTGGTTGTATGCGTGTGTGTGGGTGCCACGTGTGCAGTGGTTGCACCCTGGTATCCGGCTTCTGTTCTGTACACTGACTTTCTGTCTACTATTTCCCTTCTCATTAAATACCATGGTATCTATGCGCCCGTTTTTTATCTTTAAAAGAATTCTGCTCACTTTAGGCTGTATTATTGGTTATTCAAACACCTCAAAAACTCAATATTCACAAAATAAAACGTATTTCGTTAATCACTGACTGCACTTAAACCCTTTTTCAACAGAAAAAAAAAACGTTTTTTTTGTTCGTCAAGCTATCGGATTCCATATTTCGGTCACTTTTAATTGAGCTGCGAAATTTTTTGAAATAGCTCGATTTATCACGATGAAGCTTGCGTTCATTATACCGATGAGCAGTCTGGTATTCGGATTTGCGGTAGATATCATAACGTTCTTTCTTCTTTGAGGGAAAATAGTTCCAATTAGTTTGTAATTTTGTCCACTGACTGACATTAGTGCTGAATTCTGTCGTATTATTAAAACCATTCTCAAATTACATTTTCGGTTGAGCAGAATCGAAATAAGCACTCCAAAGGTCAAAAAATGCTCTTGAAATGAAGTTGATTTCATCCTAAATAAAGTATTTTTTGGCTGTTTGCATACTGTACCACCTTACACTGTTGAATTGTACGCCTTAAGAAGTCGATTTTAGAAAAATAAATCAGTTTATTGTAGGCTTCGAATCCCCCGACCAGTTGTTATGACTAGACTCGTTTTCATAAGAACACTAGATTTTATTTCTGTCGTTTTTTCCAGTGCTAGTACAGTAACAACAGGATCTTTATTCCTTATTTGAGAATAAATCTGCTTAGCAAGGGATGCAATCCAACCTGTTGGTCGATACAAATGTTGAATCCTGTAGCGCCATTGATCCAATTTTGTGATCCATTTAAGCAAATACTTTTTGGAAAGAATCATTAGTAACCTATGGGAGCTCAGTCTGTATTATATCAGGTAAAACTGGTTTTATCAATCTTTTCTCTATAGCAAAAGGTGGCGGTACAAGAACTGTCCGAACTTCCCTCAGATAGCAGTGCCGACGCTGAGAAGCCTCCATTCTTACCCCAGCGCCAGCACGTGTTCAGAGACAGTGCTGGCGATAGCAGTTCCACCTCTTGGCTGGTTCGCCTCCTGCTGCCTTGCGTCACCATCCCACCAGAGTTGAGTGCCAATCTGCGAATTGCGCTGCTGCTGATGGTGGCACAGCAGACTACAGGCATCAATGTGATCACTTTCTACACTGAACCCTTGTGTCAACGTATGGTCCACGTCACTCACTCGGCGCGCTGTGCCTTCACCCTCGGACTGGCCCAACTCTTCTTCTCCCTCCTCGCCTCCTTCCTCATCATCAATCGCCTGCCCCGACGCCTCCTGGTAGTTGCCACGGGCGTTCTCATGTCTATCTCCATGTTCTTCTTCGCCATCGGCCAGCAAGTGAGTCCTTATTTATACTTTTCAAGTTTTTCTTGAATAAAGGAACCTTTTTTACCGACGCGCTTGAAAAGGCTGGAAGGTTAGGAGGATAAGTGAAGCCGACATATTGTTTGAATTATCACTTAAGACGGGTGCGAAAGTACGCAGGTGTGCATGTATAGGAATACCTTTGTAGTTATTAGGTGGGTGTGAGTCTACGCGGTTTAAGCTATCTGTAGTGAACGCTTGTTTTGCACATTTGGTCGGCAAAACGTGAAATTATCGTTCTTTTAGGGTGGTTTTACTTAGTGGCGCCATCGATGCAACACGTGGGTCATCTTTGACAGTCATGAATCAAACTAATTTACAATAAATGTAACCGTCAACTTGGAGAAGGTTTACAGGACTATAAGCCTGGTGGCCAAATTATAGGCATCTTGCTGCTTTAAATCAAAAATCCAGCTGCAACCTTATTCCTTATCGGTTTGGTTTCTTGTGACATCGACAATTGAATGCTGTTTCATTTTCCTATCAACAGCTGTAAAAAGAGACTACTTGGAGTGACGGGGCTTGTTTACATTTTTTGTAGCTAGCATGATGGATTGTTAAGTGGCATGCGAACTGCGAAATGTTTTATTACATATAATTTCACCTCTCAACGATGTATACCTGCCTGCGCTTTAGTTTAGCTATTAATACAATGTACCTGCGAGCAATTCTTCTTAAAACCGATGGCAAATTGGTTTACTTCATTGATATTGTGAGTGAGAATTGGATAGTTTAGTTGAGAATATTTACTCTCATTTTATTTGCTGATCCAAATACGCGCAAGTATCCCTTCTTTGAGCTTGGCCACAGATGGTAGTTTGATTAGCTTGACTGGCTTTCTTTCAGCACTTTGGAGAGAAGGTAAAAATGCCTAATTTAATTTTCAAGACGTATTTTGATTGTCTACATGACTGATCTAAATCCAACGCTTTCATTCACGTTTAACGCCGTCAAACTGTCATCCAAACTTCCTTAATAGTTGAATTCGGTGGCAGGACTTTAGGCAATGCGAGAGATTAGGGAAGTGGTATTTTACGCAACTAAAATACTCTGTGGTAATTGTCATCAGCATTCTTCTGCTTTTTCTGCGCATTTCCCATCTTCCAACACTTGGCTATGTAGAGTCTAATTTCTGGTTGTTCAGTTAGAGTTGCAGTAACACCAGCGCAATGGGTAATTGTTTGTGTGTATGCCATCGTCTCGAGTCGCGCGGCTTTGTTCCGTTCCTTCTAATAACCCACAAAGTATTGTATCAAGGGCTTTTCTGGAATCTAGTATCATTATTGATGTTACACTGGTTCCTTTGGTAGCATTCCCTATTGCCTTTGATATAACCTACCAACCGATTAAATGGAACAGAAGTGGGGCTTCGGCAGTGTCTTGGTGAATAGATCATATATGTTTTCACTAACTGTCGAATCGCCTGATCGACGTAAATTGCCTTCGCATATGCGCTTATGTTTTTTTATTGCTGGGTACAAGGCGAAGAATTTGTCTAACTTTCAATCGTATGTGAATAATTGGTCAAAGTTTTCTCCAGTCAGGGGAATTTTTTTTCAACTGCTTTGCGCAGTTGAATTTGACGAATTTCGCACCCCTGAACTGCTGTTTTCCATTGCAGTAAAGTTTGGCACTACAGATAACTTGTTGACGTCTTTGTTCTGAGTCCGGGTCAAACAGTTATTTTCGGCTGTTTCAAACATCTTCCCAAAAAAGCGGACAGAATTTGTGCGCTCATCATTATCTTGATAGTCTCCTAAAGATCGCATAAGTTTTTGTAATAGCTAGATTCAACTCATCTATTTTGGACTGAAACCGAGGTAGTCGTGTAGGCATACTATTTTAAACGCGGAAACTTGTCTAGCAAAGCTGTCTTTCGTCTTACTTTGGTTCACTTTGTAGGCTACGTACTTACTGTGGTGAATTTTCTTTGGTAGTTAATTCAAGCTCTGTGGAGGGTACTTACAGACCAATTGTCCATTTTTCAAAGCAATTAATATTGGTCATTGATTTACTTTATTCATAATTCATTAAGCTTTTTCCCAAAAGTTGGAAATCGGTCCATCTAATGCAAGCTTTTTGTGATCCAAGGCTGGTTAACGTTGCCGAATAAAAACCATTTACCGGTGTGAGCAGAGCTTCTTTTACAATTCATATGTGTGGGTATGAACTTTTGAATCTCTTGCCATTTCATTTTACTCCCACGCCATATGTTTTGTGATCCCTACCATCGCTTATCTTTTGCACTGCATTTTAACCTCATGGAATCGCCCAATTTCTCAACGCTTCAGCTATTGAATCTGATTTAATTTTTATTTCAAACAGTGAAAGAAGGTCCATAGTTAATTCCGCATGTACCTATGTATTTCCTCCATTCCCAAAATCCTAAGGCTAACATTGTGATATCCAACTGAAAGCACCCCAACTCGGAAATAAATGGTTGGAATTATTATTATTATTTTTCAACTAAGACCAACAAATGTCAAAGCTATCTCTTCAGTAATACATCTAAACCAAGTAGAACTAAAAGTCCCGTCAATTGTCACCATAAGCACTTTTTTAAAGACTTTTCAATGTTATAAAACAACGAACATTTTTGTTTGAGTCATTTAGGATCCACATTTTTTGTGGAAAAATTGCTTCATAAAATAGGTATTTTAGTATCAATGAGTGAATGCGATTTTCTGTTCCAAAATTGACTTAATTGACACACTTTCTTTGATTCTATCTAACCTCTCTCCTTTTTCAGAAAGGTGTTTTTGTCTAGAAGTATTAAAAATCTCTTTTTTATTATTTTGTATCATTTTGGTTATCCGTTAAGCTCGATAATTATTCTGATTTTTATGAATTAGCCAGTAGTCTGCAACCCTATCAAACCTGCCATCCAAGACCACTAGAATGCCATCACTAGCCTTAACTTTTTTGTTTTCGCTACTTTCATGCAACAATGCATATCGCAGCAGCAGCTCTGACCTCTCCCTTTCTATAACCCACTAACATTCCCATTGCATCCTTCCCTCACCTCTTCTTGTCTGTCAAGTTCCCGAATTCGGCTCCAATTTCGCCACTGGCCGCGATACTGGTTTTTCTGCTGGGCTACCAGTGCGGTTGGGGTCCCCTAGCAACGCTGATCGTCCTAGAACTCTTCCCCGCTGATTATCGAGGTGCAGCGTGCTCGGCTGCAGTGGCAATCAACTGGGGTGTGACCTTTTTGGTGACTCAGGCGTTCCAGCCCATCGTGAATCTTCTCGACAGACAGGGCGAATTGGTGGTCTTTGTGACGCACGCCGTGATTACCTCCCTCGCTTCTGCCTATTTCCACAGACGACTGCCTGAGACGAATCCGATCTTTGTCTCTACCTCCAGTGCAGGAGCTGCTGGTGCTTTACTCATGCCTTTGTCTCGCGCTTGATGCACATTCGCTACGCGTCAATCCGGCTGATCTCTTGCTCTCTCTCCCTCTCCCTTCCTACCTACCTCCATTCGCCTTTGCACTTTGCGCTTCTTTACGCCTTTGCCTGGTAATTGTCTTTCGTTTTTATTTTCTGTTCGGGTACCGTTCTCTTTCGCCTTCTTGGGTCCATTTTTTTTGGAACAATTTGTTTGGTTTAAATAACTTTCTTTAACATTAAACTTTTCAATCAGAGCTGCAAATCTCATACAAATTTTAATGCCCTATTCATTCGTCATTTTTCGACATGAACGTTTGAAAGGTTGTTTCACGATCTTTTCAGATAGCATTCCTCCGTTTTTCTTGTAGCTCTCCTCTATGGGGATTATCAACTTTCGTCAATTCATCATGAAAAACCGCAGTATCATTTGTTACCAATTCAGATGATTGCTTAATAAATGAGTGGAAAGGCAATTCACTCTAGACTTGAAATGAACTTGCTTATTTTTTATAGCTTGAAATATAGCCGATTAATCTGTCTTCATTTCAACTGCATGTCCCTCCACAGCGTTGGAATTTGATATAGTTCTTTGTAAAGGAAAAACTGCTTCTCCAAAAGATTCATTAATGATTGAATAAGCTGTCATTGTTGCCCTGGTATCACGTGTTTGACGAAGGGCGTCGATATCTGTTGCGACCGTTTATGTGAAGTTTTGGTTCTTCATTTGACATCTGAAGTTGTGCATGGCTTCATACTTTCTTAAGGTATATTTTTTGTATTTGGATTCTAGTATCAAGCGCATTTCATGTGCTTATTAGTTGTTCACCGCTGAATCAAGCTATTCGAAGTGTTAGGATTGCATTGAATAGGCTTTTTTTGGCCAAATGTCTAGAGAATTCACTACCATCTTTTCTTTGCATTTAAGTCCACTGTCACTCCGTATAACTCAAGTGCTACTTTTCACCTACAAGAAGGATAAGCGTTGATAAAGTCACTGACATGAACACATATAAGGCGTTTTAATGTCAAAGGATATGCTTACGATGCATTCATAATCCATCACAGGATAACCGCCGCACTAAAAAAGCTCTCCTACCAACATTCTCAGTTTCTGAGTGCATCCGAGTACCCAGCCCTTCTGGCATCGTCGACTTGTGTTCATTTTGAATTTGAATTAAAAGCTTCTCCCGTACTTTCGTAACACCACCAGCCCTAATGATGGGATGAATGCGCTTTCTTTGGATACACACCCTACCTCCCAATCCATTTGCTGCTACAGCTGCCCCAAAACGGAGTGGGGTGTAACTATCTCACAGCATCTAGCATCCACTTGATTTGTTTAACCTCAAGAGGCCTTTTTACAACGCATGATTTGATGCAAGTGGGTAGCCTAAACCTATGAAGGGCCCGTGCCACCTACTTGCGACGCCGAGTTTAGATGACATAATCGGAACGCTACACATAAGTGACGTTGAGAGCGAATGCTTTAAGTGATACAGTTTAGGTAACCCAAACATTAAGCATTTCTGCGAATTCTAGCACTGTATAGACGCGACTCTTATGGTCTTTGTGCTAATTTATGTTTGAAGGCTAAATTTGTTCGATGTTCATGACCTTTAAAATGGACCTTTGGTTTTTAGTAAAGAATTCTGGAATCATGCACCCAAAACTTCATTTCTTTAAAGATAAACATCTTTGATTTACCTCCTTTTTGGTAAAAATTATCATAGTTTTCGGCTAACTATTGTGATATTAGTCTTCCCTTTAACTTATTAAAATTGCTTTTATTGTTACAACCAGGCTGCTTTGTTTATTGAATCTGTTCTTAGTCGTTTAACTGTTTCCACACTTGAACGCCCTGAATTCAGTAATAACGGCAATGGTGCTGTTTGAAAGTTCATTCGAATTTCCTTCTGTAATAGCAAGGGGGGATGCCAAGGTAGATTGGGGAGGGGGGAAAGAGTGACCAATCTAGAATTTTCTTTGCTGGGTGTGGTCTTGTGTTATTCTGTTGGCTAAAGTAGCCGCGCAGCCGTCTGATTTACTGAGGACACTTGGCATTTGCAACGCCTGTGTAACTGGAATCCTTAATAATTCCTGTATATCGGTAGCAGTCGCATCCTTGACCTCTGGACGCGACATATGTCATACTGACCCAGCCGTCTTTTCCATCAATAAACTGCCTTAACTTCGTGTTTAGGACGCAATTTCGGTCGTTCTTTTTTGCGTGGCAGATGTTACAGTCCAAAGTTCATTTCACTGCGTCCTAGGGTTGTGCCTTTTGTTTACAGCGCTCCTTAAATCTCTAAAACTCAATTCTCAAGCTATTTTGGCTTTCCAAGATTGTCGTGGAACGTCAAATTTATTTAAATAGCTGTAATTAATTTTCTTAAACCCTATTAAATGGTTATCACGAAGTTTTGTGCTAATTGCAGATCTAACGGTTAACATCTTAATAGTTCTCTACTTACTGGTACTTCTCGCTACTTCCCATTATACATGCATCTAATTGTAAAAAACTCCTAATTTCCTCCACTAACATTTTTAACAATCGACCCTTTTCTCCTCCCATAGGTTGGAATTTCCTGCTTGTGACAAGTCACTACTTCCGCTCTTAATCCTTCTTTCAATTCAAGATGGTGGAGAAGTGATTAAGAGTGATTCACGTTTACTCTTTTCCGTAAACAGAACAGCCTTTTTGCGAGTTTCTCAAGTTTTCTCATAGCCTCAGTGGGCAGAAATAGCGATCTACATGTTGGTGCAAAGATTTAAGTCCTGCTTTACTATTTACACTTTCAAGATTGCTTTAAGGAGAAATAGCGCCAAACTTTGCCCCATGGAATTGAGTGAAGATATATTTTCCAAAAAAATACTTGTTTGTCTCTCAAACATTGAAGTCACCCACACAAAGCTGGTTGGTGGTATCACCCGTGACTCACTGAAGGTAAGATCGTGGACTGTATCAGAAGGCAAATGACTTGAAGCAAATGAGGCAAGATATCCCTTTAAACGGATTCCAAAGCCGCCGTTTTCTAGTTCATGTAAAACGATTTACCAAAATTGTTGACACTGGAAATAAATACCATCTTGAACAGATAGTGCAGGACTTTAAATTATCTCAGTCAACAAGATCATTAAGCTTAATTCTGTGTATGTTGAAAGAAGGCAAACCATCTAGAATAGTGTATTCTTTATTATGCAGTTGTCACCCGTGGTGCCAAGTCTGTCACTGGTAGGATTTCTTCTGGGCTTCCAGTGCGGCTGGGGACCGCTAGCGATGTTGGTGAGTACGGAGCTCTTTCCCCCTCAGCACAGAGGCACTGTGGGTGGTGCAGCTGTGGCGGTCAACTGGATCACCTCCTTCGTCGTTACCCAGACCTTCCAACCTCTCGTCAACGCTCTCGGTGGCAGCACCTCCAACGATGCCAATGTTAGCGCCGGGATTGGCGAGGTGATTATCTTTGTCTTCTACAGCGCCATCACTACTTTCGCCACCATCTGGCTCTATCGTCGGCTGCCTGAGACCAATAAAGTCTTTCTGCAGCCTGCTGCGAGTGTGTCTCTGCCGTAGCTTTTCACTTACTCCACCTAACCCATTCGTCTATTTTTTTATTATCTGTGACGTATTTTTTTAAAGTGACTCTGACTTTAGAATAGCGTTTCTTAAGTTGTATTCTTTTTAGCCGTTCATTATTCCGTGTTTTCGATACACCATAACATATCGTTGGTGGATGGATGTGCTAAGATACACAGTATTGTTTCAATAAACCTGACCTCCCTTTTCCTTGTTCCCTATGGCCATCAATGACAGGAATAAATGACGGCTCTTCTTTATTTAAAGAAGCATTCTAGGTTTTTGGTTATTTTTACGATGCTCTACTGCATGTCATTGAATGATAAATACACATGCGTTACACTATTACAGTACATTCGTCTAGTAGACACAGACATCTTTTATTAGTGCCCGTTCCTTAAATGGCCTCGAATTGCGCCTTTTCAGTTAAATTCTTTTGGTCTCATTACTAATTATATCACATCGAAGCATGCATAAAACTTTTGCGACAAACCTGATTTCGGCTTTAGGCTGGTATTTTGAGAGTTCAAACGGAGGTTATTTTTATGTCCACCTTATCAGGTATATAAACAGGCTTTGCGGTGGATCTTAGAAGGTAAATTTGCTCCAACTTCATGCCTGCTTGAAAAATATTTCATTTCTGGTTGTCTCTTCTTCCGGTTCAATGAGTACAGACTGTACAGCAGCATATGCTTCCTCTCTTTGAATCGTGGTACAGGTCCGAGGTCAGATAATCGAAAAATAAACTCAATTTGGCTAGACTTAACCTCCGTTGCATTTTCAATTATCTTCTACCTGTTTGTTGAGCGGGTGAGTACATGAATTGAAGCAGATGTCTTCATTACTTCCACACGTAGATGTTCCACTGGGAATCACAGTGACAGACCTGACCGGGTGGTAGGATTGCAAAAAAGTCGCAAATTATGTGCATTTTTCTCTGGTCTTGAAGAAGGAAAAACACATGGGTATTTTTCTGGTCTTTGGGTGATGTCTGGAGGACAAATTGGGAACGTAGTTCCTTTAGGGAGTTGAGATAAGCAAAGATTTGCATTCTCCGGAGACCCAGGAAAATCCATGCGATTGTGGGCCTAATCCTTGATTTTTTTGATAATCATATATTTTTCCTTATTTTTGATTGTCAGAGGATGGAAATGGGTAGGGAGGCTTGTTACTGGCACAGTAAACCCTCTCCTTTTGAAAATTTATTTAGGAGCTTGGATAAATATTGTTTCCTACATTCCTTACTAACTATCGCTGGATTTTTGGAGGCGTATTTATTTTTACTTATTTTAACCGTATTTTGTTTCTGGTCTTTCGTTTTTCATTGCATCAAAACAAACCATTGTATGAATGCGCTAGCACTTTGGACAGCCGTATTTTGGGGTTTGGACTGAAACTGTTTCGTGAATCGCTTGGTAAAAAAAACCACAAAAATTTATTTGTGTTCATGAAAGAGTTGTTGCTTTTGCTACTTGCCTGCCTGTGTCATTACGCTTCTGTATCCCCGTTTTTCGATGCACCACAAGGAATCGTGGATTTGAGCACAGGCGTACGTCGCTGGAGACACTGATTGTATCCACTTGGAGTGTGCTTTGAGAAGGTGGTGTAAAAGAACATTATTTTGAACGGAGTCGACGTGCATTTGGCCATGTTTTGCTAGAGGATCGGTTGCCGGAGTAGCTTGTAGGACCTTGCAGGATTCACCCGATTTTCTGTGTTTGCATTATAAAGCGTGGATCGAGCATGTGGACCAATTAATCAGTGCTATTTTCTATTCACTGTGCTCTCCACTTTTCTTGCGCTCTGTGGTATTTTTATTGTATACGGTGGTGCAGATGATTTGCATTCGTTTGATTTTGCTATGGAACCGCTGCAAGAGAGATGTGCAAAGAGAAATGGGGAATGCTCTCTAGCCTTGACACCAGTGCAGAATTGGTTTACGTGCCCTATTAGTTAGAAGAGTTGGAGATTTGCGTACGAAGAGCCACCTTTTGTAGTGTTTAAGATCACAAAGGGAACGGTGGGGATGTTGCCACACTGATAGGCACCACAGGACATGCATTGAAAGCAGATGACAGTAATCTTCAAAGATTGACAATTTGTCGTCCTTCATATTTTTTAATGTGTTATGCAGATGTGCCGTGCATTATAGGCTGTTTGATTAAATGAGTGAACAGAGAGGAGGGTGAGTGTAATGACTGGGTGACTTTGGATAAGAAATGATTTTTTATTGCAGAGTTCGTTAAGCGGAGGAGCATGTCCTCGTTTGGTCCGACCGAAATGATGCACCACCTCACCACCTTCTCCCTCCCTTCCTCCCTCCCAACCTTCTAAGTCACGCATCACTTGTTCTGCAGAAGATTGTGCTCGTTTTGAGTGTGGTGTGGATGGTGAACAGCAGGTGGAATTGTCTACTTACTGCGTGTCAACCTAAGAGCGACTGGGGGTGAAATCTATTTGCTGAATGTCATATGACGCGACTTTTATGAGATGTGCATGAAGACTGCTCATACCTTTCCTTCGTGAGAAACAACCAGGACTAGTGAATCAGCAGGAAGAATGTTTTTTTGTATTTCTTCAAGATAGTCACGAAATGTAAGTGAGAAAGAAACGGAGACGACTGCGGCTGGCTTGTTTGCATCAAGAGACGGGACGTTGCAGGAAAGTGAGGTTTGCAGCAAATTTGTTTTTCTTCTGGAAATGATGATGGATTCCAACAGTGATTATTTAAATAGATCCAGCATTTGATAAGCCTTCCTAAGCTATGTAAATTTTATTGTAAATATTACTTGGTCGCTTTATACTGCTCGTTATCGCAGATGGACGAGTAGAAGTGCATTGTACCAGCCCGTATTGCTTTATTCAAAATTGAGGGTCAATGTCGTCACATGCCCGCATTAGCTACGGAGGATACCTACTGAATTTAGAAGTAGCCATAATTTTTATCGCACAGAATTGGATTATGCTCTCCATGAGCGCCGTATGCTATTCTTCAGTATTTACGTTGAACAGAAATACTTTGGCTTGTAAATATCAGTTAATCCTGTGGATTTACGCCTGGTGGGGAGAGCGTAGAAGAGACACCACTGTGAGAGACGAGACACCTCCCTAGGCCTTAAAATGGGTCTGCCTTTGCATTTCCTTGGTCTTAACAAAATCTGGGCAGTCGCAAATTTCGATACTATCTACTGATTCTAGATCTTATTACAACAGGTTGTAAAGGGTGTTCTAGTTCCACTTTTAGTTCTAGGCCATCTTTTCACGAATAGTCGAGCGTCCTACATTCATATGTGGTTCCATAATAAAGAGCAATAGCACGTTTTGGAGTTAATTTTCACAAAAAACATTGCGTAACTAGGACAACTCATGACATATTTGTTTTAGCTTAGTATAACTTGGTGATCTGCATTTGCTACGGTTGAGAAGTGCGGACATCGGCAAGGGGGTTAAGAAAAGTACCGAGCTTGTCCTATTCTGACCACCTACCTTGAACCAACTTTCCAAAATTTTGATCAACTTTACTCCCCCTTCTTTTATCTAAAATGCATTATCTTCCGGTACTTCTTACGGCAATAAATAGCAACCTTCCTTCTTTGATACCAGAAATACACGTTGAATCGAGGAAAAACTAATAACACTATGGGTTTTCCTTGTGTCCTTCCAACTACTTCTATTCACTCTATACATCATTAAGTCACCCACAATGATTTACGTTTATAGATGGGAAGTCGAAAATCTTACTTCCATTTCCTTATCGAAAATGTCGGAACTCGTCCATGCAACAGTTGCATCTGGATACTCTTTATTTGACCATACAAGCTTAGCCTCTAGTTCAGATTTTGGTGTCTTTTCAGAGGTACTGAGTAATCACTAACAAAAAAATGGTTTTGTATTGAGTTTCTAGATTCGGTCGCTGAATTACTACTGGGGATGAAGGGAATAAAGGGTCAACTTTGCTTTTAAAATCGAATATCTATCGCAAAAGCACCGTTGACGATGACAGGCTGCGAGGTGCATTGTGTAGTGCCTGTTCTGCAGGAGACAAAGACATTGAAGGCCTTTTCCCTTTAACACCTACAAAGACTTACTGATATAAACTAAAGCAAGTTATGCAGCTATCTTGAAAGGCGTGTCCTAGGAACTCACCTGGTGTTTTAAAGAGTGCTGAAAGCCCTGAGTCTGTAAAACACTAAATCATACCGAAATGTTTGATTTATAGGTTAATTTCAATTGTACCACTCAACATATTCATTCCCAACGTCACTTATGTGTGACGTCCCGATTATCTCATCTCAATCCGGTGTCACAAGTAGGTGGCACAGGCCCTTCGTAGGTTTGGGATACCCACTTGCCTTGAATTATGTGCTGTAAAAAGGGCTCTTGAGGTTAAACAAATTAAGTGGATGCTGGATGCTGTGGGATAGTCACACCCCACTCCGATTTGGGGCAGCTGTAGCGGCAAATGGATTGGAAAGTGGTGTGTCCAAAGAAGACGCATTCATTCCACCATTAAGATTGGTGCTGTTGTGAAAGCATGAGAGAAGCTTTTCAAATCAAATTCAGAATGAACAATAGTTGATGATGGCAGAGGGGCTGAGTACTTGGATGCACACGGGAATCGAGAAAGTTGGTAGGAGGGCTTTTCCACTGCGGTAATTACAAGTATATTGCAAGTGTATCGCTTCACCTGGTAAACGACCATTCTTTCGAAGGCGGCAAGAAGTACATGAGTTGTACGGACCGACAACTAACTTAAATGCATTGAGGAGATGGCAGCTCTGCTAAATAGTCTCTAGACATCTCACAGACAAGCCTATCTAATGCAATTTTGACGCTTTAGCTTTCAAGCAGCAGTTAAACTCGTCAAACATTGGCGGTAATTAGCTGCATGTTGCAACAGGATAGGGTGCGTTGATTTTTCTCCAGGCCCCTGATAACGAATTTGCTAACAGTGAGCGCTCAGTGGTAGCAAAATACTGTCAACTGGGAGTACGTCGGCAGAGCACCAGAGACCAGAGACACTCCTGCACAATCGACAATGCGAGGTAAGACGAAGATACGTTTATTGGAGCACATTTCTGTTCTCCCGAAAATGGCATCTTAATTGTGTCAGCTCGAGAGCTACGCAGACTGGAGCGTATTTTAAGTATGTTTGAATCATATAACTACAAATTTCAGCAGGAAATCATGCACGGGACGTGAGCTTTTAAAAGCGCACAAAACTGGGGACGCTTTTACTTTCTGCTTGTTTCGGTCGTAAGGTGTGAAAGAAAGTTTGCGAATTTTGCACATAACAATAAATTCAGCAAGAAGGGTCTCGTTAGCATAGCTGAATAGACTTAGGGTAGAAGCGTCCACCTGTTACCTATCACAAGAATGATTTCGCAAACAGCTAGTTCTGTACAGAGCGATCTGCGTTCGAAATGAGAAGACTGCACCAAACGCTTTGCAGCAAGAAAAAAACAGGATTTTAATTCTCTCAAAGCCGGTATTGGTTTGGCTCTAACTCAAGTTTGCGCGTTTCGGCTGATCGTGCTGAATGCGAGTTGAGTTTTGCTTCCCTGACACCGCTGCATAATGACTGAAAATGAAATAACAACTACCTACTACTTCGATGACATGCTCCAAACCTCCAATGTCATAAGTTGGTAAAAATACACGGAATAGGAAAATATCACAAGAAGCAGACAACAAAAGGATACATAAAGTAAAAAAACTTTTCGTAAGGCAGCATTTTACATAAAGAGTCGAATCACTCATGCCAGGTATCCCCACTTTTGAAGGTCGCTCCTAAAATCAGTAAAAAAGAAACGATATTAGTATCCATAGTGAGGCCAGAAGGAGCTTCTCTACGAGTTTTGCACCTTTGTTGACAAGAGACTTGGTTACTCGACGTTATGCTACGCAGGAACTCACCTAGCGCTATTGTCTGCGGCCCTACCGCTGGGACGGATATGTCACTTACTACTCCGTGTAGTAGCCCGCGTCCACCAGTGTCCACTTTTATTACAAACGTGTAAAATTTAAGGACCTAGTTTGACTAGAGAGTCCCAAAAAGAGTCGTTTTTGACACATCATAAAAATCGAAAGGACTTTCCACAGAGCCATTCGGAGTTTGGTAAACCCAGATTTAGTAAAAAAATAGGAATATGCAGCAGTTCCCGTGAATGATAAATAGCGATGTGAACCTACCTCAGGCGTTGTGTAAATTCATCATTTTCGTAATCCTCACGATCCCACTCTTCATCCCACACATTTTTATCACTCGCATCCTCCTCATTTGCGTCCCAATCTGAAAAGATGCAGAGAAAACCATTTAAACAATGTTCTTCGTAGTAATATCAAGTTGAAGCCTTCAGAATGCTGTTTTACCTTCCACGATGAACTCCTCGAATTCATTGACATCCTGATACATACCTTGCTTCTCGTTCACGCCTGATTTAGCCATCATGAACTAAAACGAAAGACAAGGAAGTGGTTTTCTTTCACCAAACTCAGAACTAACCAGGAAACAATTGTACTATAATAAATTTCAAGCTCAAAAATGAGTCAGAGTGAGTTTTAACGAAAAAGCTAGCCTACACACAATTAAGAACCTAGGCAGTTGCGCCTCACGGCCACAGCCCCCGGACCCAGCGAGCAAAGATGAATGACGCTAATGTTGGAGTCCGTGAAGTGTGACATTTTAGAGTATCAACGTCACAGAAGCGATAGTTTTGTGGAATGAGCAGTAAGAAAGTGAGCTTCACAATTATGCATAACATTAGTGGCAAAGGCTAAGACAATCAACTGCTCGCTATGCACACATTACCCAACGGGGTCTCCAAAACAATTTTTTTAAACGTGACCCATCACGGAACGCGTTTTGATGCGCAACGTGAAGGCAGATGGCGAAGTGTCGTAAATGGATGTGTGTGTACGTGCATGGGAAAACACACTCCTTGTGTTGACAGGTTACGGGATTGAGAAAAGACGACGACAGGTAAAGAGCATTCCCTACTTCATTCATCAATAAGTAGCATTTTAAGTGAAATTTATTACCGACCCGCTATTACTTAATTCAGCAAAAGCATGGATAGAACCCATTAGTTGAAATTTATGCTGTCATCTTCAAAGTGGCCAAATGTAATCCTCCTGCGATTCAGTTACAGGTGAGAGTATAAAACAAATTTGGGGCAAACAGGTAACCTTCCTTTTATCGCAACAAGCGGCACTCGATTTCGGAAGAGTTATATTGCTGTTATGGAACTGAAGCAACCCACAGCAGCGCGTACGGGAATGACTTCCACTGCGGTGAACCATAGCACCTCGGAATGACTTCAAGTGGGAAAGCGCCTCTGTTGTGGAAGAAATTATCAAGCAACCGGGATCATGTTTCGCAAACCAAAAGTTCAAACATGTGAACCTCTCATAGAATTTCCGCCTATTTTCATTCGCACATCGGCCAAGTCAAACAAATTTCATTGTAATTTACAGCCATATGCGGAAACGTACTTCAAATGGGCCTCTATTGAGCCCCAAACTCAAGTGGCCTTCATCTGTCGAAGCAAACACAACGCGAACGTGTGATGCAAGTCACTTTAAATGGCCATGTCATAGACATATTGCTTGGACAAGAATTTTCCTTTGGGCAAGAGCGGGAAGCACCTTGACTCAAAGTGACAAACGTCGAGGAAATGAGAAGCTTACGAGTAGGAGAAAAACTAATTTCAAACGATCTGTCAGAATATGAAAAAGACAGGGACCAAAGTCCTTCAATGTGAACTAGTCATTATTTCCTACCTTTGGTTATTCCTGAGAGTACAGAATCTGAACAAAAAAACTGGTTGACTATCATAAGCAGCAGCTTTTACTGAAGTTCCAATCATAGTTTATACAAAATAGTTGGCGTCTGCATTTCTCGAGCAAAAAAGCAGGCATAAACCAAAAAAGCGTTAAGAAAAAAATATCTATTAAGAGTAATTTATTGAATTTTTGAAATATATATATATAAAGAAGGAAAATAGGAGGTGAGGAAGCATTGAACAGCCCTCTTAGAGTCCAATTCGACCGCGTGGGCGTTTCGAGACCGCTGGAGTGCCCGGTTTTCTGAAGCCTGGAGTGGCTATCGGATGGCTAAACGAAGAACAAAGAGCCAAAAATGCAATCACTCCCCGTGGCAGAGAAGTTGAGGTACGGTTCGTGAACACTTACATGCGAGAGGAGCTCATGGAACGTTCGAGTTCCTCCTTGTGTCGGGCCAATTGCACCTCGGCTGCCTTCATCTCCGCCTCCATCTCAGCGCGTTCTGCATCCTCTCGACGCTGTCGCTCCTCTCTGCTTAGGCTCTGATCCTTCACGCTGCAAGAAAGGAAGAGGAAAGTGATGGTTACAATCTATACTCAATGACTGCCTTGAAAATTCTTTGAAAAGAAATACTTGATCAAGCGAAATTGCAATTTATTTTATTCCCAGACCACTATAACTAAGAATATTCCAAGCTTTGACGACGAGATTAGGGGCTCTCGGTCTTTGTATAGCCGGTTGGCTTATTTCACTTAGTATGAAGATCCCTAAAATATTGCGATGAATCAACACAAAGATCAACGATTAAAGAGGCATTTCAGCTTAAAATGCAGCTAACGCTTTCATGCCAAATGTATACCTTAGTAAAAATAAGTTCCAACATTTGATTACACAATAATCGAGTTCAACAAAAAAGTTTCCTACCAGTTGTTATCTGTCTAACGTGTAGTTATTTACTAGATTGATTAATGAAGGAGGTAAAGAACTCTAGAGTAAGAGAAACATGCCTTTGAGAACCCCCCTCGGTGCATCACCAGTTAGTTTTTTTCCACCTAGATCCAATTATTTGTAAACATGATAGAGCGAGCATTGACAAGCAAAACGCAAATTTACACAGAATCTGCCTCAAAGCATATTCCTTCCACTCTTCAAGCAGTCGACTGCAACCGGAAAAAAGATCGAGCCCTGCCCCAATGTTAGAGGTGGTCTTGAATCGACGTTAGAGGCATCTACAACTTTGAATCTAGTCTCTAAATCAAACAAAATCTTGTTCAGATCGCACGGCTTCATATCAGCGACGTAAATCAAAATCAAAACTGCGTTAGTACGATAACCGGTGAAATTTAATATGGCATATTTATGCCCAAGACTCCGTAATAAGCCTGTTTGGTGTCTAACAATGCTTCCTTCCGACTTCTAAGTTCAATTTTTTAATCTTGCATCTTTTTGTAAGGGCACAATCCAAGCAGTTCTAGCGACCTACACAGCGTATGTGGCCCCGAGAGTAACTCAGGCGGTGCAGAGGTAATCGAAGCATACGTCCATTTTAGACTAAAAGCGAAGTCGTAAGAACAATCTCGTCAGAAGAATTCTCTTAGATGGACAAGAAACTAAGGCTAAAATGGAATCCACAATCCTGGATGGAACACCATAGCAAAACCATCGCCTTTACAAAAGGTTAAAAAGTACCACTAAAACGAACTCCTCATCGAAAGCGTTAAGTAAATTCGAACTTCCATTTCAACATACCGACTTCGGAGACTCCGATTAACAACTATCAAAAATTGAGGCTCTTGTTTACTCTGTAATAATAAATAGGGACTTTATATCCCCTTCTCCTAACCAAGAAATTAGTCTCTAATCATGTAGCTTAAACCACCATTTTAAGCTCTTTCTGTACATGCACAATAGTTTCTTCCATCTGTCTGCACATTATAACAATTTCCAGGAGTAGAACAGGGGCTAAAGTGAGCTCTTACGTAAAAGCTCAGCTGCAAGTGTTCTACACGATGAATACTTATGCGATGTAATATACACACAATTTTGGTCAACACCAGGTGAGAGTGTATCCCATCAAAATGTACTAGTGCGAAATCCTTGGGACAAAAGTAACCAGTCTTAAATAGGATGTGAAACAGAGCGAAAAATTGGCATTTTTTCATTCATAATATTGCCGACTTCAAGCGGAACAAGCACACTAGGGCATTTGAAATAATTTGGCAGGGGGACGGATAAAGCCAGAGAAACAGGCTTCACGAAAACAACCTTAAAACCAAACAAGTAACTAAAGGACAAAATCGAGATTTTTAAAAACTATTCCAAAGCACGGATTTTCGTTTGGACTGCCAATAACCGTGAGCAAATTTACAAAAAATTAAAATTCTACTATCTCACCTCCAAACTTATTGCTTAAAGCTAACTTAAGTCTAGGAAACAGCGATCACAATATACAGGCGACTCAAGTGGAGCCGAATGCGAGCCTCGAAACGACTGTGCCTCCCAAAAAACCAGTATTTGATCGCACAGCTATAAAAAACACGGCATTCATATGAATACCCTTGAACCTGTTTGCTCAAATATGTTGCCTTTCGATCAAAAAAACTCGGTTTTTGTGTTAATATGACAAAGTGAAAACATAAAACGTGGCGAAAAACCGCATTACCAAAATTAAACAACGACCACTCCTTACAGCAGGCTGCGGAGACGAAATCATACACTTGTAATTAGGGTGCATTAGGAGTATCCCTTTATCATTTTCATGATAAAGTAGGTAACAGTCTGTGATTGTCTGTTGGCGGCATAAAATTGACTATGTATGAAAGAGTAGCATCGAAACTCGACGCGCTGTGAGGGAGGTGCATTGAGAAGACGGATAAGCACCAATAAAGGATCAAATTTGACAGAAAGAAAAGTGTCACTTTTTCCGGTGAAGGTTTTTGAGTAGAGATGCATAGCCTTGCCTGAAGCAATTCCTTTGCAATAAAAAATGAAACGGTTTCCTCGAGGAAATGAGAAGCGAAAATTGTAGCCAGAAAGTGTGCAGAATTTTTCCTACCATAAGATCAACAACGATGGTCAAATGAATAAGACAATAAAACTTTAATGCTTTAAAAGTAACTCTGGCATTAAGAGGTAGCCCAGTCAGTAGCAATTTGAGGTGAATGAGACAACACTCAACATGTGCCCAGTGGCTAACAAGGTGCATAAAAATTTTTGAATCCAACTGGAGGAAAGCGGTAGAAAAATTCAAGAAAAGTACAAACTTCAAAAATGGTATTTAGCAGTTGGTATTTTCAGAAAAGGATATTATTACTGTTGTCAGAAATAATTTACAGAATGCAATTGCTTTCAGGAGTGGGAAAAACGAGCAATTTAGGAAAAGGTTAACCCTTTCGAAAGGAATCGGAAAAGCATTCTCTTACAGTAGCTACGATGAAATTCGGTAATATGGTACCGTTACTATTTGTTATGTGTGTATATAGGCACCGAAACTGTGCGGTTCGAACACGACGATTAGAGAAGACCGGGATCTCGGAATGGATATCTTTACTGCCGCAAATGGTACACAGTGAGCGTCCGCGTCCGCATTCATAAAAGACCGCAGTCCTAACGCGCGCACACTTATATCCGAGGCCCTAGGACACTGAAATCCCCAAATCGACCCCAGCGGTACTTCAATCTTCACGTAATTATGTCCACTCAAAATAATATTGAAGGCTAATCAAGGGGAAGTAAGCGAGTGAAGTAAGAACGCTTCTAGAGTGTTCCGGAATGAGGCGCAAAAGGGGAATGTCACTATTTGAATTGCGAAAAAGAAACTTTTGAAAACTCGGAATGGGAACTCTGTTGGGTATCCATTTAGGTAGAGATAAGGCTACAAAACGGGTCTATATACCTTTGAATCAGAACAGAAAGCATGGTAGCAACTATTGCATTGTCAATGGCTCAAAAGATATCCTGATTAGCATTATTTACCAAGTCAGATATGACATTTGGAAAAATGATTTCCTTTAGTAGGGTACAGCTTAAGTAATCCATTCCTCAGCGTCTTTAAGTAAGCACACAATTCTAACAGACGAGAATTAAGCTCCATTGCACACATTCCGCTTAAATTACCAGTTCCTCACTTCTTTTACCTATAGTAGCATATGCGAATTTCGGTAAAATCGAGTTTTTGTGTGGAGACAAATATGGAGGAGCATAAAGGTGAAACAAAAGAGATGAAACGCGAGCGCACCTGTAGAAGATGGAGCCGTACTCGGCCAGCCAGCGCCCATCGACAGCGGTGACACATTGCATATACTCCTTGGAGGTCATGACTAACTCGTGGTAGATAATGTAGTCGGGTGTGTAGGCCATGCCGTAGAGCGAGCTGGTCGGATGTAGACGACAAGGCATGCCAGTGCGCAAGTTCACATACTCCGCAAGGCCCTATACACAGGCAAAATAAAGCAGGCGTTAAGAGCGATCACACTACTCAGTGCTGGACTTCAAGTTATTCCAAACTGTTGTGAGAGATCAAGTGCTCCCGTCTAAGCATATAATCTCAATGATGAAGAGTAAGGGAAACACACCGACTGAACAGGCCTCATGCATAAACGGTGATGGATGAGATTCAACTGAGGTCAAGGTGACATGCTTCACTAGACTCTGCATATGCATCCGACAAGGGAATGCTAAGAATGAACGTAGTACCCAGCACAGACCACGATCCCGTACTAACGAAAACGGAAGCACCCATAAGGTGGTGTTGAACTTGAGCTCACACACCCCATTGACACTCAAAATAGAGGTGGATAGACAGATGGTTAATAGGCAAGGATGATATGCAATGTGAAAGGGTGAAGCTGTTACTTAATTTCCGCAACAAAATCAAATCAGGAGTGAGCTAATGGTTATCCCTACATCTCAAGCCAAACGGGAAGTTGGGAACCCCTGAGTAAATTAGTGCAAGTGACTATTTGTTCAACGTGGGCAAAATTCTAAACAGTTCGTCATGGGATCGACATGACCGCCGAGGGGAAGTCAAATCTCCTGTGTGAGGAAACGGAACCATGGAAATAAATAGCAATGGGATACACTAAAACGAAGCACCAACAAGTGAACAATTGTAGCCGAGAGAAGTCTCCTAATGTAGCGGCCACTCCCACTAACTGAAGCTGAAAAGATGGCAACGAGAAATAAGTAATCAGCGGAAAGGAGGAGTAGAACAAGAATGAAAATGAAAAAGTGGGTTTCCATGGTTTATTTGAGGTAACAGGGCAACTAAAATGGGATCCGCTTGACGATTCGAGGTCATGAAGTTCTTTTGATTAAGTAATTTAGTGGCAAAGTTTACTAGCAGACAGACAGTGGAATCCGGAGCAATAGCCGATTTTTAAAAAACGGAACTAAACTCCAGAGAGCATAAGACCTTGTACCTCCCACAATTTAAATTAAGAGCAGGAGGGAACACTAAATCAAACTGTTTTGTAGCCTTCAGAAATGCGAAATATATGCCTACTGAAAAAAACAGAATATATATGCCAAAATAAGGCCTTTAACTATCGTTGATTTATTATACTTCAATGTTTCTAGGTGGATAAGTCTAATCTTTACTGAAGCGTAAGCTATATTTATTGCTAAAAAAGATAGACAAACGATTTGGACTTCAAAATAATTGAAGCAATGAACCTTCAGGATCATATACCGAAATATTACTCTAAAGTAAACACAAAGTCTCGAACACAAACTAGCAACATACAATGCTCCAAACTGCAACAAAAGGAATAAGGTAAGGCGTAACGCAAGAGAGTGGAATGAGGTAAAGGGAAGATAGACGCACCTTGATCCTGGCGGCCTGATGGAAGAAGGCGGAGCAAAGACAACGGCGAACAACATCCCAATCGGTGCCGCTGGAGCAGAGGGCCACCTTGTGTTGCTCCATGATCTCCTTCAATTGTTGACGCACCTCACGCACCTTCCGCATCGCCTTCACGTGGATAAAGTTGCGCGTGCAGAAGGAGGAGGAGTACCTGAACACAATTGTAAGCATCACGAACTGAATGAGAAGCAGACAGGGCCGTGTGAATCAGGTAAAAAAAAGAGAATGGATGTTTACCCGGATTTGCGCCAGAGAATGAAGACGTTGAGATAGGTCAGATGGTCCGATTCTGGTACCTGCAAGAAAATGTTAGCGCAAGAGGTAAATAACATGCCTCGACCATGAAACTAAGCACATTATATCAGCTTAGAAGATTAAACTAATGTTTATTTTAGGGTCAAATTGGTCAAATTGAATTGATGACCTTAGAGACAAATTCAGTTTTAGAAAATGCGATTTTAAAACTTCATTATTTCAAAAATTATCCTGAGGATTCAAATTAGAGGTAAGATTACTACGCCACACAAACCTCGTTCGTATGCACAATCCTGGCATTCAGTCATCAACAATTGTTTTCTAACTTACAAAGATGCAGAGTAATGCAGAAAAAACAGGCATTAGTGAGCATGGTAGATACAAACTCTCATATTACTGCAAAATGCTTTATTTTTCTAAAAAGCTCCGAACTCCCCAGCATATAATGCTCGAGAATTTAAACCAATAATAATAGCGCAGGCTGATCGTCAGGAGCATGAGATCGAAATAAGAAATTACTTAATCCTAAGATATATGTAATTTTCGAAATGCGTACATCTCTGCTCCACTTAGTGTAGGAAGTTCGACCTCAGTCAATGGAAGTATTTTTCAATTTCACATTCCATCACAGGCAAATTAATCTCCAGTACCCTCACCGATACCAACGCGAAACTTTGAGCAAAACCTTACGTCAAATATGCGGTCAAACTAACTAACTTCAAATCCCTGTTCAAATCTTGCATCCTATTTTAGATTCGTGCGGAAGTATTAATTCGTAAATCACTAGTTAAATACATTTGACTTCTGCAGCAATACAGAACAACTACTCATAAAAACAAGTAGCACATTGTCTCACTTGAAATTTCTCTCTTGCCAAATCGGCATCTTCCTCACGGCCCTTGGGTCGGAAGAATATGGACGGCACGGAGAGCATCGACACGATAGTGAGAGCCTCCTCTGAGCATCCCATCTCACAGGCGACGAGAAGGAGCTTAGAAAGCGCCGGGTCGAGCGGAAACTCCACCATCTGCCGGCCCAATTGGGTGAGTCCACCTGTGTTATCCAGCGCCCCAAACACCCACAGCTGACACATGGAATTGAGGATATTGTCTTGCGGCGGCGGATCCATGAAGTGAAAACGCATTAAGTCTCGCACGCCTAGAGACTTGAGGAGAAGCACCACGTTGGCTAGATTGGTGCGCTGGATCTCGGGCACGGAGGAGATTAGCATTTCCTCCTCGAATTGGCCGATTGTGTAGAGGCGGTAGGCAACCCTAGACCCCAAAACAAAACGGTAAGCTAGATGCCTGAAGAATTCCAACTTCAATGATGTGCAGAATGATTAGCTAAGGCTAACAAGTCGTGCAATCAAATAGTTTATGAAAAAACGTCAATATAACCTCAGACATCGAAATGTTATCTTTAATAAGATGATTCTGATCACCTTGAAATTGATAAGCTAGAAACAGTGTTTACCTAACGTAGCTGGGTGCTTTTAGAGGCCGAAAAAAAGGAATCAAATCGAAGGCTACTTAACCACTAAAAATGAGATGTAGCAAAGATAAAATGAAATCCGAATAGGGCTTTGAATTAGATCATTAAAAAAATAAGATTAACTTTAGCACAAATAGGTAAAAGGCAAAACCGAAAAAATCCACGGTCCCGTTAGAGTAAAAAAACAAAAGCTACAGTACCTTACTAATTAGTCTTCTGCAAAATGCAACGGCCACTTCTAAGACAGGTGTCACGATAGAGGAAGGTAGTGGAAAACGAAGTCATGAAGCAAACAATGCTGATGATAAAAGGGAGACGCACCCAGGACCTGTTCGACCAGCACGACCCGCTCTCTGGTTGGCATTAGCCTGACTGATAGGAAACAACTGAAGAGCATCCATACCGATACGTGGATTAAACACCTTTAGCTTGCAGTAACCCGCGTCGATAACGTAGCGAATACCGTCCACTACAGAAAAAGAAGGCTGGATAATTATTTTCGAAAGTAGTGCAGAAAAAAAAAACGGATTAAAAAGGAAGGCATCACCTGTGAGTGAGGTCTCTGCAATGTTCGTGGCAACCACACATTTCCTCGTATTATCCTCAGTCTTTTGAAAAATCTTCGCCTGAAGATCACTCGGCAATTGGGAGTAGATAGGAAGTACACACAGGGGCGGAGCCTCCTCCAGATTTCTCAGACGCTCAGCAATCAATTCACACGTCACCTCAATGTCTTCCTGACCCGTCATGAAGACGAGAATGTCTCCCTCTGGTGATCCCAAGTGGACCTGAATTGTCTGCTTTACTGCCACGTCAACATAGTCCATGACGGGTGACTTGCTGAACTGGACATCCACAGGGAAGGTGCGCCCAGGAATGTGAAAGATGGGACAATCGCCAAAAAATTGAGCAAATTTGTCTGCGTCCATTGTCGCCGAGGTGATGATCAACTTCAGGTCGTTGCGACGACTCACGATCTACAAGAAAGGGACTATTCAACCCAAAGAAATGACGAGACAGAAAAAGGAAGTAGAAGCAAACCTCTCGAAGGAGACCAAAAAGAACATCGGTGTTGAGAGAGCGTTCGTGGGCCTCGTCCATGATGATGGCAGAGTAGGGATCGAGGTCGGACTCGCGGAGGGACTCACGCAAGAGAATACCGTCGGTCATGTACTTAATTACTGTCTTCTCGTTAGTGCAGTCCTCAAACCGGATAGCATAGCCAACCTCTTCGCCCAGTCCAACGCCCATCTCGTCAGCAACACGCTTTGCTACTGACATGGCAGCGACACGACGTGGCTGAGTACAGCCCACCATCCCGTAATGCGTGTAACCGTCCTCGTGCAGGTATTGGGTCAACTGGGTTGTCTTGCCGCTACCTGTCTCCCCCACTATCACCACAATCTACAAGACAGTAGTAAGGAGGGTAGTTGAACTATCTCCAGGAGATAAACAACCAGATTTGATAAACAAGATAGGAAAAAGTTGATATCATTCGCGTTTAGCTGTAAATTAGTAAACTACTTCCAATAAAATTTCATAGAAAGGTAACTCAAAAAGCAAATACGGTTTTGATGTAATGCTGAAAAGAAATCATGAGTAACTAAGTGACAATCCCAGAGATTGTTACCTCATTACTGGGGAAGAAATCTGGGCATCAACACAATAAAGTGGATCGGTTAACTCAACATGTACAAGATCAGCGCTAAAGAGAGGGATTAAGGGAGGAAACGAACCTGATGCTCCTTAATGAGGCGTAGCAAGGCTGATCGAACCCCAAAGATCGGAAGGAATTGCCGTTGTTCCTTAATGGTTTTCGATTTGGCAAAATTGGACACCGCCTGATCCTTTTGGCCTCCAATCTTGTCGGCAAAGGTCTGTGACTCCCGATAAGAGGCCTCATTCCATTCCCCATCCTTCTCACCATCCTCACCTTCTGCGCGTCTAATGCCCATAATCTCACCAATCCGTGTGCCCGCCAGCTCCCACTCCTTCTTCTGTGCTCGCCGACGTTCCTTCTGTTCGCGGAAGTAGCGCACCATGGCGCTCCCCTTTGTGGCCACCTTCGTCATTATTCCGTCCGGATCCTGAAGAAAAACAATATTGAATGCAATAACGAGCAATCGAAATTGGTTAACGTAAGTTAAAGTGTTTAGTAACCTAACATTGGTGAGCATGCTCCTCATTTTAACAGAAAATATCAGGAAGTGAGACGTAAATAAGAGGTCTTGAAAATGACCTCAAAAGACAGTTTATAAGTGAATAGCGATATATTCTAGCCTTTCGGTTGCGCAAGTTGTACAGACAATTGGCAACCACTGAAGTGGAAGAACAGCAGACCTACCAATGCAAAAATTGTATTGCGATAAACGATCCACCTCAAGCCACTCAGTTGAATCGAAAAAGTTTGAAATCACCGAACAGTATGCAGAGAGAATACAAATAGTTTTAAGAACATTGCAAGATCACTTATTTCATTCTTCAAAGAGATTACAAGAGACCCACCTTCACAGGCATAACAGGCTCGGGATGTTTGGTAAAGATAATGCGGCCATCGAGGAAGGGTGGCATAATATTCTTCACCAGGAGGTGGACCCGAGCCTCACCCTCCTCATTCAGATCTTCTTCATCGTCATTGACACCACCGAGGTCACCCTCCCCACTAGCACTACCGGTAGCGATGCGTTCAACCACACCGGAGCGCAGCATGCGGTTGATCTCCCACGCCTGGTTCTCTTTCTGGATCTGCACTGCTCGAGCTGACATTCGCAGCTTCTTGCGTCGACGCGCTTCGGCTAATTGACGCTCTTTCTTTGCCACATAGTCATCGGGAACGTCTTAATTGGATGAAACAAGGAAAATCACTTCATTTATAATACTAGCTCCAGCATGTTGACTTCCTCGGCTATTGTGCCATTTGTCTTTTTAATCTCCTCGGAACAACCAGCATCCGGGTGCGTATACCGTTTAGTCTACAGCATAACGACCTCCACACCAAATTCATCTGAATTTTCTAGCTTCCTGAGCCTTTTGCACTACCAGAATGAAGTTGGATGAAGGCACCTCCATAACCGCACAATATTCAAATTCGTACGATGCAACTGACGTAAGCATCAACGTTCTACAAGATTGGTGTCAAAAAAACCAAATGCAGCTTTTGAAAGGATGACCTATCGAACTGAGTGACGAAATCATCACAATAAATAAGGTTTTGTTCGAAGTAGCAAAAACCTTACTCATCGTCACTTGCATGTTGAAAAGTAACTTTCGCTTCGATGTGTCGAGGTGACAGTTTTACTAAATGCCTTAGAATAACAGGAGGAATAAATGTAAGATTCTTTCAAAGGGAATCCAACACAACAGTGAAATTTTCCAGTATTTAACGTTGAAAAGAATTCAGAATAGCATACTAGAGAAAAAAGACAAAGAACTTACCTATGAAAGGATTGTTGCCCTCATCATAACCATTATCCATTAGGTACCAATTCCTATCTAGACGTTCTGCCTCAGCCTCCATTTCCTTCTCATCCACAGGCACAAAAGGCGTCTGTGAAGGTGTCTGCATTTCCTTCGACGGTGTGGGGGCCGTTTGTCTGCTTCTGCCACCACCGATACTGCCCTTCATCCAGGGATTTTGCATATAGGATGGCGTCTGGAGGGGTGTGTATTCATATCGGAAGCGCTTCTTTCCCGCTTCATTGTCCCTCTCCCAGGGCGTGGAGCGCGAGGGGGTGAAACCCGGAGTGTCGGTGGGCCGAAGATGGCGTGGCGTCTCAATGTAACGTGAGGTAGTGGTGGAGCGGTAAGAACTGGTCCGTGGGGTTTCCGCTTCCCAATCGCGCTCCCGACGCTTGCGGTCGCTCTCCTCTGCCTCAGTGCGACCACTGGAGTGATCGCTGCGGCTGCTATGGTGTCGACGGTAATCACGGTCGTCTTCTTGGTGTCGCGAGTATTTTAGTGGTCAGAAGAACGAACACCAAGAATTCAAAATTCAAAATATTGATGACGGAAAAAGTTGGCAATTTGATAACATGTTGACTAGAATAGTGGTTCAGCATCAGAATGACGATTTTTTTTCGGCGCCCTTCGACCCGACTAAGAAGCTGCTGTCGTGAACTCTACTCGTGGTGCCCACAAAGTTCTGATCGACAGGCCATTCCAAAAGTTTGGAACCAAGCTACTTGCAAGTCCCCAGGGTTTGTAGTCTTCAGACCACGCTGGCAGTGCATTTTTTATTTGAAAGATCTCGGACTCTACATTATGCAGATTTAATTACATTTGAAATGAACGAATAAACTGTTCTATTCTCACCACAAACACCTCCAGTATATTGTTACGCGCTCTTGATTAGCTGGGTGCATACACTACATTGAGACCCACTTAACTGGGATTGAGAAGAAGAGAAAGGCCTCCGACATCAGTGATATTCCATAACAGTAAAGAAATCGAAAAATGTGACTTTTACTTGACCAATGCTTTTGGCAACAAAAAGAAGTTGCGTAATCCCGTGGCAAACATATTCTACCCATAATCATCTCGTTATGGCCTTCAAATAGGGGAGTCATAGGTAAACCCTAGGATCAAAATTCACTAGGCCTGTTAAATATCGGTCATCTTGATGGCGGGAGCATTACAACGCAGCGAAGCGAGATCTGAGCCCACCATATTTCAAAACCATTAAGGAGCCCAAAACATTGCAGCACCTTTATTTGGATCATGATTGCTGATAAGACGGAGGAGAGTCCGATCAATCCTTTGTTCCAGATCACTCCAATTAAGAACAACTTTAGAGACTTCACTTACACTGTCAACATTAACACTACACTCTCTGAATTGAGGGATAGTAAGAACAATCCCGAATCCAATATTTGGGCCCCACTAAACTAAATAAGTTAACTAAGGACCGGTAATTAAGGAAATGTGAATATGGCTACGGACGACAACGATTCAAAGGTAAATCGAAACAAGAATTTGAAGAAATAACCCAGTAATGGAATGGGAAAAGACTGGGACATTTTAAGTGTTTTGAAACATTAGAAAGAGCAAGCGGTTTTAGGTAACAAAGCACAATCATTCGAGGAACGGCAAAGGTCCTAGAAAACGCATCTACACTATCAGAGTTTGAGCATTTATGTTCAATAAATATGAAAATGACTAGGATGTTTCCAGCCCGAAAATAAATCACTGCATTTAAATGAAATCCGGCATTGGGAACAGCCAAATGTAACCACATCTGAAATGACTGAAGAAGCTAACGAGCAGAGGATAGTGAAGAAAAACAATACCTTTCCCCTTTTGTTTGAACGGGTCACCGGTCTTGTAAGCCAAGCCTGATTTGAATTGACCTGCCTTTTCACGACTTTTCTTGTACAACTGAGAGTCAAGATAATCCTTGCTGACACCACCTCCGTAGGAAGGTGTCTCTATTCGCGGTTCCCGGTAATTTCTGAAAAAAAAAATTGGGTAGGTTTTCCGGAAACCAATGGTAAATAAATCAGGAAAATAGAGAAGAATAACGCACCGCTGTTTGTAAAGAGAAACTGCAGATTGCCCATTCTGTGACTCAGTTCGTTTCTTAGCAGCGAGCTTATCAAGTCCAAAAATGGAATTCTGAGGTTTTTTGAAAACATGTGAATTGCTGTCAGTGCTAGAAGCACCTTTCGGATACACAAGGCCACCCTTTTCGTGCAAATCAGATCCTTCAAGCTTGTCAATCGACCCAAAGGAGTCCATACTTTAAGCTAGTGAAAAGCAAATAAAACAAGTTGCAGGGGGTAGATGCCCTAGAACGGAAGTAGTGAATTAAGAGTGTAGTAACAAAGTTCCATGTCAAAGACTAAAAAAAAGTTTCAAGAAGACGGAAGATGTTAGGCATAAATGCGTGGTTATTTTACCACAAGCAAATTGCCCAGAGAAAACTGATGTGTGATCAGACAAACCGCACAAATGCTCCCCGACTAGACTTAACCGCGTGTCGAGTGCAGCATTATAAACAAAAGCCCATGTTTAAAATTTTTAAAGCTAGGTAAAGAGATCAAAAAACAAAAGGTTTAATAAACTAACAAAGCCGCTACTAAAGTGGTGCCAAGCATGACATTACTTTCTAAACTTTGAAAATTTTTTTGGCTTACGAATTCCTTAACTAAACCAAATTGCTCCCAGGACGATCCCCTCTCCCACATAGTAGCTTTTTCATAAAGGCAAAGTCAGCCGTAATAACTTTTTAGGCAAGCTTTTAATTAGCGAGTGTTTTATTTCAGGTTTCGACTTTTGGTTTCAATATTCGCAAGGATTACTCCCCCAAGAGCAAACGAATTTGAGAATATATTCTTGATACACAAAGTGAGTGTAACTTTTTCAGCCTCCAGTGTTCTTCTAAAGTTGCAATAATCCACTGTGACATAACAGAAAGTGTATTTTTTAATGTAGAAGGACTGAGAGGCTCATGACGCGCAAGTACAGTTTGTGGTGGTCCAAGTGCCCGTAATGTCAAAAGTAAAATTAAGTAATCTGTTAAATCTTCACAGTTTCATCGCATTTGGAAATCAGGTATTCTGTAAACAGTTCTATTCAAATTTTGACTTGCAATGAATTGATGCATGTGAAATTTAGAAGCTAGCACTTAAAATCGCATGGGTAAAGTCTATTCTTTTGTAAATTACTAAAAATTTCCTTAACAGGGTATGGCTGGCATTTAGAGACTTGCGTAGACAAACCTTCTACTTTGGCTTTATGCAACTGCTAGTATAACCTTCTTACCGTCCTCTTTAATCTGCTTCAAGTATTTTTTTTTCGAGTACGACACCGCAAGCATTGTAAAAGCCAAAGTCATCGTAAAAAATTTAGACAGTAGCTAAATTTTTGATTTGGAAAATCGGTGACTGCTATACGCTTCCTCCCTGAGTTGGATTTTCCCCAAAAAAAAATATGGCTTTTAAGTATTTTGGCTGGGTTCCATGTTGATAAGATTTTTGTTTACCACTGGCAGAACATCGAGCGCCGGATTTTTGACAGTTTTAGATAGTATGACACCCTCATTTATATCATCTAGCTCACCTTTCTAGTTTGATTACGCGATACCTAAGGCTCCACAGGTTGTATTTCCGCTCGGCAACAGGGTCTCCAGGTCATGTCGGTAGTCTCTCAGCCCTCACCCAAGGAAGACTCAGGGAGCTGCACTGGTGAAGGCCCGAGAGACTACCGGCACGGCCCGGAGGCCATGACGTTGAGTGGAAGCGCAGTTTGCAAAGACTTGGGTTCCCGCGTATTCAAAACCGGACCTAAAGAAACTACCAAAGCATCACAAAACATTTACTTACAATAGGCGATAATTAGACTTTTGTGGGCTCAAAATAGCTTTGACGTTGAGTCTATTTAAACCTCTCCTTCCCGGTTCTTACACCGGTTAATTTTCGTTTTTACTCATTCTAAAATAACTTCTTATTATGACTACTTAATTAAAGCTAAGCGCTAAACTCAAGTAAAATAACCTTTAAAACAGAGGAAGTAAGTTCTTGGCGCTCAAGCAACCCAATGCTAAAACCCTGCAGTACCTGTTCGTTTCAAATTTGAAAGGCCGTCGGGCTTGGAACCTGCTGGCAAAACTGGCTGCACGGAGGAGAAATAAAGGATAAAGGTGGTTAGGGAGTTGGATTTCTTCTCAATTATTAATAGAGTTGAAAAAAATTGTTCCTCTCTACGCCCTTTTGCATTTCCTCCGAAGTGATTAGGGTCCTCCGGATGGATGACTGATTGCGGGTAAAAGGTTGTGTGTGACGTTTCCCTAAATATGCACCCATTCTCTTCCATGAACCAGGTCATCTGTTAATTTATGACAGGCACCATTTCATTTATCGTAGAGTCCCCTATTTAAACTGAACGAAATATGAATCAAGAAGCACAGAATGGCGATCTGACAGAATTTTAGAGAAAAACACAATATAGCGCTTTCATGGCTTCAGCTTCTGATCATCAAAATTGGTCACATTCTACAGGCAATTTAACCACTTTTGCCATGTTTACAAATTATTACCAATTCCCCAATAGCCATCCCCCTTTCCAGACGTCTTTATTCACTTAAAGTAGTCATTCCAAAGTAGTCATTTCAAATGCAACCATTCGAATTCCCACGAAGGTGTTGCTGCCAAAGGGCAAAAAATCTGAGAGAATCTAAGCGCGGATGGTGATTTTTACCGCATTATGACGATAAACGGACGCTGGACAGCGAAGGGATCGCATAATCAAGGCTATACTTGGGCCAGGGTCTCAGTAGAAATTCGATTATCACGGCACAGATTTTTACTGTGACTGCTTTTATCTTGCTTTTTCCTTCCCATCAAATTCATTTCCTTTTGAGTAAGTGGAAGTTTACAGGGTTAGGTGAAATAGGGCGTCACATGAATGTGACGCTGATAACGAAGGCATTTGTTACATAGCCTCTCCCATTTTTGAGGTGCTCCCCGCGGTTAGATGTTATGTGACACCTGATTAATGGGCCACAAAGAATACGTGCCAGGAGAAGAATGTTACCTGTTTTAGCAGGACATTAAGGGGATTTGGATGGCGGACGGACCAAATCGAGAGAGAATTGTCTGAGGAACATTGCAAAGAGTTGGTAGATTTTCCAAGGTGATTATACCTTATACGCCTGTTGCTTTCCACAAGAATTCTTGCATGAAAATAACACGACGAAGTGGAGTATCGTAACCACAGTGCCTGAGTAGAATCGCTATGCTCCAAGACCTTAGTAAGCAGTTTTTAAAGGTCTGTTTCGATTCTTCTGAGCATAGCTACACGTTATTATCGGCCAATATGCAGAGCTAAAATTAAGGGGTCGTTACCCCTTCCGGATTGCCGTAAGTGCAGTCATACCCAGCAAATACCTCATTTCCATGTCTTTTAAGTGTGGTGCCTGCCCAAAGAAATTGGGACGTTTTGTTCTTTTGTACCAGACTCCCTCACCAGGGCACCGCTAAGCGTCATCGCCGAAGATAGGACATGCTAGTAGCGAGGGCGAACTGAGATGCCGCAGGCTTGGACAGGGCCTCATTATACCGACCCATTAAAACTCAAACAAATACCGTTTTAATACCTGAACACTTACGACTTATCCTAGGAAGTCAAATGAAATATTATCAGCAAAAATAAATTGAGTCGACATTTAAAAAGCGCACTAACTTATGTGAGTCAGCTGTCCAGCGCTTATTTTGAAGATCACAAGCGTTTGTCAATTAAAATTTCAAGTCATTACCCGTTTAAAAGTGCGTAGAGATGATTGCGTGCATCGAAAAACCGGCAACTGCGTTGTGTCCTCCACTTGAGCCCATTACGCCAAAAAGGTCTAACTTACAAATCAAAAAGGCTTCAGTAGCCCTGATAGAGAATATGAGGTAAATTGTTGAAGAAAAGCTACTAAAATAAGTGACTCGCGGCACGAAGTAACTACGTTTTTAAGCATTTTGTCCAAGCCTATTTAAAAGGGAGAAATGAGGCTGTGTCAATTTGGAGGGAAGCCCCGCCCTAGTTGGGTGAAAGACATTTCAGCGACCCCTTGGTTTTCAACTAAATCTTGTTGCCCCCATCATTTAGCGTTCTTTGAAAGGGAAACGAATCTCTTCTCATTAAGTGCCTTTTTATTCAGTACGCAAAATGAATATGGTTCCCTAAATAGGTGAAGCCGGAGCATTCATAAATAATACTTTCTGAAAAAGATGGCGCTCCAGATTTGCATTGTTGCTCTAGTTCCACATTCTTGCAGTGAATAAATTAAATGCTAATTCCCGCAGGGTACAGAGGATGAATGCCTAAACAAATAGTGCATAAAGTCAAGACGTGGAACGGCATCGTCTATGCCTTAATTTGAGAATCAGAACTTGGTTAATTTTGAATTCACGGCAATAAACGCCTTTTAGTATCAAGATTAGAAGTCAGTTTTATACAGCTTCAAGAGCGTTATAATTCATGTAATTAATAAAGAAGTAAAGGGACGCCTGTAATAATTCTGTTGTTTAACTCTTGGTTTAGCATACACGGACACTGAAGGGCACGACATTGCTCTTCCCTTCATGGTCTTCGGACTACGCCAGTGACCTCCACTCCAGCTCTTCAGTACCTTGATAGCAAATTTTCGGCCCCAATATTATGTTTTCCCTCGTAAATAGGGAAGTCTCAGGGCGTCACATTAATGGCAGTGAAAAGCAAACCTGATCATATAGAGCCAGTACCCTGATTTCTAGCGCTGGGCAATAAACCTTAGCTGGACGGAAGAGGAGCATATGTTGCGGATGAGAGAATCTGTGACGACCCCAGCAGAAGGCTAGAACACGACGCTACACCCTCAGCCACTACCGTGAGCGGCAAACCGTCTGTAAAAGTTTATTACGGAGCTGTCTACGGTACCTGTTTGAAGAGGTAAATTAGTCAAACACGAAATAACTATTTCACCTTCCCGCTAGCTGTATAGAACCCTGAAAAATACAGCTGAGCAGCGCCGAAGTAAGAACGAGGTAGTGAGAATGATCAGACGCAAAACCTTATTCAAGCAAAAATTCTTCAAAAACCATCCTGTTTTAAATGATTTTGCTTTTAGACCAGTACTCTTAAAACCAACAATGACCATCCAAGATGGCCAGCACAGTCCCCCTTCTCTAATACGTTTCCAGAACAGGATTGAGTTCGGTGCCGTTGCAGTCAAGCATCGGGTCAGTTGCACGCGAATCCAATGACTGGTGCGGTTGTTTGGTAAGTGTTATTCTTAAAACACCTATTACTCTGTGACGGTCGACGCGGGATGTTAACCAAGAGGAGCGGTAGGGTCAACGCTTAAAAGCAGAAGGAAAACGATGTCACACCTCAACTGTTTGTTCAACTCTTCATTTCTGTTACGCGGGCAATTCAGGCGCTGCCTTTGTACTTTCGCTGGGTGGCATGGACATGTCAGTGGTCCTCAACCCTTCTGCACATCGTCAATGCATATTCTATCCTAGCATTATTCTTTTACCTTCAGCAAGGTCTCGACGCGCCACAATGCTGAAAGTAAAATACTAATTCTTTGAGATCAGATAGCCAAAGTATGAGCCAAAAGCATGCGTCCACAAATCTACCTGAGATGGCAATTTAGCTTCATATTTGAGTTTCATACAGAAAACTTTCTAAATTAGTAGTTTTGTTAGATAAAATAACTAATGCAAACTGTAAACTTAAAAGTGTAGCCATTTAGGGACTTTAAAAGCCCAAATCACTAAACACTGCGACTAAGAATCCTGCTATTTTTCACCACAGCAAACCACTTTTCAAGACAAACTTCCCCTCACTCAACATATCCCACCCTTCAAATCCCAAAACTTCACTCTTTCCCATTTTACAATTTCATCCTACCTCCCAGTCAAAATGCCAAGCACCGTGAACACGGTTTGAGTTTATTTTGCTGAAGCTTCTGCAGCAAGGATGGGGGAAATGTCAGGAGGTAAGAAATTTTCACCTTGTGCTGGGCAAAGTTTAACCAACTTGAAGATCAGTTGGTGCAAAACAGATTCTCTAACGGTTATTATCTAAACATTGTGGTCATATTCAGAATGACACATCTAATTAGCACTTTAAGAGGGAGCCAGAAATGAAAATTGATTTCAAAAAAACACTTTGTTAAGGCCAAATTTTGAAAAAAAGGGAGAGTTTTCAGATACCATACGGGTTGAATAATATTTAATACAATTTTAAACCGTGAAATTTTAGGTGTTCCAGCATTACTGAGTATGGAGAGGGCGAATGTCTGTAAGATGTGTGGTGTGCATTTTATTGTAAGAATGTGACCACGACGTATAAGTTGTTGATCTATTTTACGTCTGTCCTTGCTGACACTCCGTCCGAACTGTGCCGGCTTTACCTCAAAAAGTTATTATTAAGACAAGCAGACATTTCAGACTAAGGATTGTTTTAATCATCATTATCCAACAATTTCTCTCTGTACCTGATTTTTCTCAGGTTCTAATTAGTTCGGCGGCTGGTGGGCTGTTAACAGAGGTGGCCTCAACGGGAGGCCGGAGTATTGAGATGGCAATCAAAACCACATAGGTTGAAAAGCCAGTGATTTTATGTTACAGCACTAATACGGAGCGGAGAGTCCAAAATCTCAACCAGGAGTCCCACTAAAGGCTGTGGGGTTTACAAGACTATTTTGATGGCTGATTTAAAATTTGATGAACCTTAGCCAATATACAGGTCAATGTAAATGGGGTGGAAGATGTTGGAAAAACGGATTCATCTGTGAGAAAGTGATGTTAGTTACCACTAGGACTCGACAAAATAACCTCAACAATACATACCATATAAAGAAAAAAACTGCAAGATTACCTTATTTTAAACTGCGACGTAAGAATGGTTCCTGTGTCCTTATCTGCCCACAACATGAGATCAGCTATTGAGACATATTAATTAAATCTGATAACCAGTAAAGCAGTTATTTCAAGAGATAACAACTTCACCTTATTTGTACACACTATTGCCTGCTGCATTCATACAATCATCTCAGTGTTGAACCAGTGCCTGAAAGGCTAAACCACTGAAAGATACGTCTGTACCACTGGAAC